TCCATAGGTGGTCTGGGCTGTTCTGAACAAAGCGAGCGGTCGCTTAGTGGTTGGGGGAATAATGTCTAAAACATGTCATTTCTATCGCTTCTCACAGAACTACTGGTGGAACACCAATGCTGGAAGTGGAGGTGATGTATTATTTATTAAGGTGCCTCACTAGGACTGGTAGGAAGCTGTCCTTACAGAATATCAATATCCCATTTATTTGATCGTAAGGATCTGGCCTCAAAGGTAGAGGAAGATGTGTCCCTGGGATGTATGGCTGTCTACATAGTTTTGCTCATCAAACTCAGGCTGTGGTGGTGGCTGGCGTGGAGTCGTGTCACTGTTTGGGATTTCACGGCGAGCTGTTGGAGGTGACTTAACTGGTTGAGGTCTATTTATCTGAAGTATGTGCTGTAAGGGCGTCAGTTCCACAATTCACCCGACTGAAGTGGGCAAGGACCAAATGTAAGAGGAAATGAAGGCATTTCTCAGCTTGTGTGCAAAAGTAGGAGTTGGAGCTCTGCAGCGTATTCTCTGCTGGCTTTTGTATTCAGGGCGAGTAATAAGGCTTGGATAGCATACATTAGCACTCCGGTAACATAGCGTTTGATTGCTGGCAGTTGCTTGACTTGTATGTTTTGGCTAAATCTTCACATTAAAAGATTTGCAGTGGTTTTGTCCGTTTCCCTTATCAATCAGCGGATGAATTGCCGAGCCAAGCACAGCCGGGACTGTTCAGCCAGTCAAAGCTGGCATAATCAAGCTTGTACTTGGAGGTGTGAAAAGCTGTGTTCTGCAAAGGCTAGACAGTGATTTTTCTGAAGCTGACCTGATAATCTCCCGTGCTCACTGCTATATGATGCATGCAGCCACTTCAGCTTCAGAGGACAAGTGTCCTCTCAGTGTGGGAGAGGGATTCTTAGAACAGGGTTATTTATTCAAGCGAGTTAAAAGCTTGATGCTTTTTTTTTTCTGTTTCAACAATTCAGGGAAAACACAGCCAGGACTTGCCAAAGGCAGAAAATAACAGCAAAGGGGATTCTTGGGAATTTTCTCTGAGTAAACTAGCAGGGTGAAACTCTAATAAAAAAAAAAACTGTCCTAGGGAGTAGCCGTGTACAACTGGGACTGAGGGGAGGGTTTTGTCCTTTTCAGTGTGTCCACAAATGCTGGTCTGTGTAAGGAACAGCTACTGAACAGGACAAATCTGGTCTGCTCTGGGTTTGTCCCCTTCAAGCCTGCCCAGTTGGAGTGACCATAACAGGCTGAGGTTCATTCTGAGCTGACTCTTCAAACAGGTCTCTAAAATTCACAGAGGGGGTTAATGGTTTAATAGCTATTGCTAATTGTGTGGAGCAAGGAAGCAGCCTGGTTCAGAAAGATCCAACTGAGTCTGCAAGACAGCTTTGGCTGGTGACCAATTTGTCTTTATTGTCCCTCAGCTTAGTGACTTGTCCACAGTAGTAGATGTTTCTTATTCTGATGGGCAGCTTCTGGAGATGCCTGGTTTTGGAACCTATTTTCAGTCTAGGATTCTTTTGTGTTTCTTTCCAGCCTACTGGGTGTTAAAAGGAAACTTAATTTTTTTTCTGTGCTAAAGATAAAGCTCCTTGGCTGCCTGCAGTTGCGGTACCCTTGCGGCCAGGGGAACTGCATCTCTTGGGATTTGTTGTTATTAAGTGCAGTGGAAGTAGCTGGTGTTGCCTCTTGCCCTCTACGTGTGCTTCCTCTTTGAAGCAAGGATTAATTTTCCACCCCAAACAGTCCTCCAGGGCTTTGGCTGGAGAATGCCAGGTGAAATCTGGGGGCAAGGCGTTCCTGCAGCACAAAATATTGAGTTATTCTACAGCTTCTAGCTAGTAACAGAAAAGCTTAAGCTTACTGTGGAGGTGCTTGGTCAGAGCAGCATGCTCCAGCTTGCTTGTATTGCTTGGCTGAGGCTGTGGAGCAGACTGACTATAAAAATAGCCAGATGGGGAGAATGAAAGTACAGCCTGATGCCGCTTGAGTAACAAACAGCTCTGTAGCCAGCTACCTGCTAAAACCTGGATCGCTCTTGTGTTAAGTGGAAGTGCTACAGCAAGGTGTCAAACTCTGCTTAAGAAGATAGCCAGGTCACTGCTGTTCATACACTGTCTAATCCAGCCTCTTCCTAAAGCTCAGTAGATCTTAAGCTCCGATTAATCTTCTTTGAAGTGTGAACTTGGGCCGTTATCCTGCAGCCAGTGTCTCCAGCTTTCGTTGAGTGTAGAGGTCTAGGTTAGCTTAGATCGAGTCGCTGTGGATTTGGGAGAGCAAACAACTCTCCCAACACTCTTTTCACCTTTTACAAATCTATAACTACAGTCAAAAGTGCTCTCAGACTTGGGGAAATAGCAGTGTGAGTGCACCCAGAACTCTTGTGTCAGGCTAGTACTGCTTGTCCATCTTACCTGCTAGCCAAAAGGAGGAAAGGCTCTTAATACATATTTTTTTACATTTTAACGGATGGGTGTCTAAAAGCCAGCCTTTCCCTCTTATTCACTGACACTCCTCATCCTAGTAAAGATGGAGTAAGCTTGTTGGGGAAGACAGATTAATTTTTCAGTACTTCTGCTAACTGGCTCCTGACTGTCTTAGGCTATTTGAGAACCTAGAGCTAAAAACCTACAAATGTATATGCATAATGTATATGACTGCATAATGTATATGACTGCAAGAGAAATGCTATGGCTGTCTTTCAAGTGCAGCTGGAGTTGAGTTTAGGTTTAACCACTGCTAAAACTACTTACATAGCCTAAAAAAAACACCCTCCTGACTTCTAGAGAAGCTGTATTTAGATCCAAACTGTTCTTATTTAAAAAAAAAAGCCAAAAATCAAAACCTTGTGATGTTTCAATATGTTTGATCTTAGCTGGCACTTGCTGAAGGGGTGTGAGGTGAACATGATTTATATTCATCAGCACAGCGAGGCAGATGCATGTCATTGGGTGCTATCAATTTAACTTGCATAATATACTCTTAGTGCTTTTTAATTATGAAAGTGCATAAAGGATTAGCCTGGAAGAGTAGCTGAATATTGTCAGTTTTCAACTGTTTTTTTTTTTTTCTTTTGGTGGGGGTAGAGATAGATGTGTTGCCACTAAAAATAAAGTGGAAAGTATCTAAGCTGTTGCTGGTGAACAGCTTCTTGGTGGCTTCTGTTTGTCCCTGAGCACCTGGTGCACGTGTGGCCTGTGACAGGGACTTGTTCCAGCAGCTCAACCTGCCGAGGGCCAGGGCTGCTGGGAGAGTGGAAAAAGTGACTTGGTGTGCCCTGAAGGCTCAATCGGATAGTGGAGCCTGTGGTAGCTGACTCTGATCTGTGTCTCTCTAAGCTGGAAATGCTGAGGTTGTCTTCTGTGCTACAGACAGCCCTGCAGATCATAAGGGTCTTCAGCTAGAGAAGTCTTTATTTCCTTGTGTGGAATACAAGGTGTGCTTTACAATGGGAATACACATGGCTGTGTGTGACCAGACTGCATATATTATAAGCTTTCTGGTGTTTTGATTGTGTTTAGTTTGACTGGAGACATACAATAATGCTTTCCCAAAGGAGACAAATGTACATGAGCAGCTGCACATGGAGGGCCTTTGAGTGAGATGGACTAGCACAAATGTGGTGACACTGGGACCCCTCTCCCCACTTCTTGGACAGCATCAGATGGGTGGGTGAGAAGACGTGGAGGGGTGATACACCCTTGTGTAACAAAGCAGTGCTAGGTGGCTTGCTGCTGCACTCTGTGTGTACAAACATAAGTAGTATTTATCTACAAGCTGTTTGGGAGGGAAATGAGGAGTCCAGCAAGCTGGGGTACTCATCCTGGTGTCCATGAGCAAGACTGCAGAGCGTGATCTGTGCTCTTCTTTGGAGGCCTGAGGGGCTGTTCTGACAATCTCAATGTCTTTCCTTGCTAATATCCATTAGTCCTGTGGCTCAAAGGTAAGAGCACTTCACTTGTGAAACTAAGAACATACCAGCCAGATCAAGTGAAACTATTGATGGTTGGAGATTTCTTGCAGTAACTTGATTGCGCCATTGACAAGCTGCCTCCTGGAACCGGAAGGAGGACTTTACCAGATCTGCTGTGTAATGAAGGGGTGTTTGTGTGTGTGAGGCTTGTGTGACCAGCTATCCTCCATGTGATGAGTGGGGCCTTGGATGGGATGGTCTTCTGCTGATGAGTGATGGCACAGCATGCCCGGGGCTGGGAGGCACCTGCCCAGAGGAAGGTGGCTTGGAGCAGGTGGCTGTTGCTGTGAGATCTTCCATCTGCCCGGCAGCCTGAGCTGTGTTAATGGAGGCAGCAGAGCCTGCCAAGAGCAGGCTGTCAGCTGGCTGGATCACTGCTGGGCTACTGGTTCAGCTCTCTCTTGGAAACTCTCGAAGCACACAATGATTATATACGTGAAACTTTCTGGAAGTGCCTCCATGGTGCAGTGCAGCATAACCTCTGAGCTAATGCAGCAGTACTGCTGTCTGGGCTATAGCCTTTCTCCTGGGGGCCAAGGAGCTCGTACAGGACATGACACTAATGCAGCTCTGAAACCTTCTGGTTTGGCTCTGGTCCTGTGTTGTGCCCTATAGACCCATCCTGTTTTCTGTGGAAGTTCCTTAGTGTCTTTCTGTGACAATGCACAAAACAGGGATTTCCTAACTTCAGTCTGGCCCTGACAAGTATTAGTTCTGGACTTGTTTGTCCTCTACCAGGTTGAACCTCATCATATGCTTGCAATTTTGATGCCTGCTGGGTAGAACACAGCACTCTACACTAGGGTAAGAGTGTGGGAAGGTCTGTGAGACTTCAGATTGGGTAGTTTAGGAACAGTAAAATAGTTGGAGGGATCCATTGCTTCAGATATGTAGGAGGGGTCTGCTGGAACTGGCTATAGATTAGCATGCTTGGAACTTGTCACCCAGTTATTTAAGGCCTTGTGTCAGTAGATGGTTATAGATATGAATAATCTTGGTTCTTTCTCCCTGTTCTAGGTCTTGCACTCTGGACTTGTCAGTCTCACAGGGTTCTGGGCACATCTCTTCTCAGCTATGAGTAGATCAATAGGATTTAATATCTGCGTGGTCACCTGCAGCATTCTGCTCTTGTCCTCCAGTCTACCATGCCTCGCATCTCAGCCACTGGAGGAGAAGGACATGACAAAGGTCCAGCATGGCCCCTGGGTAGGAAATGGGGTAGAAGATGAAAGGACAGGCATGCTGAACTTGAAAAATAACCTGGGCCCTTCTGAGCAGGCTGTCTCTGAAGAGCCACGCGAAGTGTCAGCAAAACCATCTGAGACACCCTTAAATGAAGCTTTCACTGTGGAAGGAGAAATGCTGTCTGTAAGCCCGAGCCATGTTATCCCAGGCAGCCAGGGCCTGGGTGCTCACACTTCTGCTGTGGCAGTGGCTGCCACAGATGAGGAGGAGCTTGGCCCCACGAAGTCAGAGCTGGATGAGGATGATGTGTTCAAGGCCATGCTGACAACAGCTGTAACCACGCTGAACCCTGCTGTCCAGGAGGAGTCTGTCAGTGGCCACATCAGTGAGACCACAACGGAGGGTGGTGTTGAAGTAGAGCCCAGCTCTGCTGTTCTCTCAGCAAAACCCCTTTCTGGGGCAGCAACGGAGGAGGAGGCAGAGAGCAGCTCACACCCCTCAGCTGCACCCCAGCCCATGCTGTACCCAAGCTCTCCCAGCTGGGAAACAGCCAGTGACCACCCTGTCATCCCAACTCCACAGGCTCATGGCGTGACCTCTGAGGTGGGAACACCAAGAGCCCGCACAGGGAGCCCTCTGAGGTCCCTGGTTTTGCAAGCATCTGTGGCTCCAAAACGTCCCCTCATGGTGACTAAGGCCTCCCTCCACCTGGAAGGAGGGACGGGTGTCAGGGGAGGAGAGCTGCCTTCCACAGCTGGCACTGTCACCAGCCGTCCTATGGACACTGTGCCACCTGATTGGGACGACACAAAACTAGGGGCCATCAGTCAAGGGGGAAGCACATCTCATGAGGAGGTGACAGAGGACCTGGGGACAACAGAACCATTACAGACAACACAGGGAGGTGTGGGGGAGGAAGAGGATGTGACAAGAGTGCTGCCAGCCCTAGCATCACCTCCACCAACTCCTGGGCTTGCCGAGGAGACCAACTACACAGCCCTGGTGGAAGGGGAGGAGTTGCCAACAGTTTCCACAGATGGCAGTGATGCTTTCCACACTGTGAACATGACGGGTGTAGGCACGGCTGGTCTCAGCTCGCTGGAAAACATAGATGCAGTCACAGCAGAGGAGGGGAAGAGCATCCCACCGTCACAGCCGGAGGCTGCTGTGGTGACAGATGCACAGTCTGATCTCTCTGCTACTCCGGAAAGCTCATGGAAAGGTAAAACTTGCTTGTTACACTTGCCTCTAAGGGTAGCCTTGGGAGGGATGTGCTTGGAAATCTGTGCTTCCTTCAGGGGGATACAGTGGAGAAAGGTGTGACCTTGATACCTGCAATAGAGGTGGGACACCCCTTTCCCCCCAGGGAAGGCTGTGGAGCTTTGTGGGGGGGGCAACAGCCTAAATGGGTAATTCACATCCATAAAGTGCTGCCTGGCCTTGGCTGTTCCTGTACATGATGTCCCTGTGTACAAGCTGTTGGGTGGTACCTTGTCCTGACTGTTACATGAAGCAACTGTGTTGAGCTCCCTCTTCTGCTCCTCAGGCTGAGAGGGGGTGGTTGTAGTAGCAAACAGGTAAGCTGAGACTGGAAGGGCTGTGGCAGCTGAGCCTGGGGTTGAAGGGTGTATTTGAGTATGGAGGTCTCTGTAGAGAATCAGAGATTTGGTACTAGTTAAAAAAAACTTGCTTTGTTGACTTAGTGAAGTTGTGCGTGTGCAGTGTACTACCAAAGCAGGGGCTTCAGGTTTGGTGTTCACATAGCAGTTGAGGGGGACAGCTGTGGCTGGTTGTAGGTGTCTCACCTTGACCAGAGATGTAAATCTGCTTTGAGTAGCTCTCTGGTGTGACTCTCTAGTGACTACGCAGCCCAGCCTCTGGTTAAGCCAGAGGGAGCCCAGACCAACTGATTAAGCACTTTGGTTTAAAGGAGGATAATGCTCCTCCAAGTGTTCCTTTGATATGGTAAATGCAAGGACCCAGAGGTGGTCCTTGCATTAGCTCACTCTGAAGCCCTGTGAAACAGAGGGGAAAATAGTTCCTGGGGGGTTAAATGAACTATCATTTTGGATTAGTTGACTGTCAACTGCTAGCTATGGACACTTGCACTCAGTGCAAAGATAATGAATGGCTGTAAATGCTTTCTAAATCCAGGAATAGGTGAGCTCTCCCAGCAGCTGTGAGTGACGGATGTTTTCCATGACTTTAGAAGGATGCTCAGATCAAAAGATCTGTCTGAAGGAAAAGCTCCTGGTGGTGTCTCCCCACCCTAGAGTGGACAGTCAGAGCCTACCACAGCTTCAGTGTTTGTACCAGCTCTGTTACCAGCAGGCAGAAATCTTCTTCCTAGACAGTCTGCCACAGGCTGATGGATTTACCTGCAGAGATGACACCTTCATCTCACTGACAATGTTTCTACTCAGTGTTTAAAATATAGGGGGCAATGCTAAAAATAAGTCTAGTCAGGTGTTGGGCAATGACATGTGCCTAGGCTGATGAGGAACATGAGCTGGGGTCTAGGACTTTGTTTTAATTGCTGGGAACCTTTAATCTTCCCTCTTAGGCTACAGAAGTAAAATGACAACTTCCCCTTGCTGCACCCGAAAGATCTAGCTTCTGCTGTTAAAGAAGAAAAGCTAATTGCATGCTGGTGCTGCAACCTGACTGATTAATTTCTAGGTTAATTTATAAGCACTTGACTTGTCAGCAGGCTCCCTCTCTGCTGTTTCCCAGATGTTGGGGAAACAACACTATCGATAAGTCTCCTGCAACAAAAATAAGCCCTTCTACAAAGCTGAAGTCTCACAGCCATGAGAGCTGGTCACTAAAAGCACTGCTCTGCCAGCCTCACTTGCTTTGAACGGTATTTCACACCACAGCCCTGCAGTGCTGTGCTCCCTGGTGGATCCACGTGTCCCTAAAGGAGCAATTAAGAAAATGAGGACTGATTTTTGCCGCTTTCATTCCTGTTATATGCATGTTCTCACATCTGCCTCTATGCTGTGCTGCCCTGGTTATACTTGCCTGGACCTGCTGCTTGCTCTGTGGCTCTGGAAATGCTGATGCATGGAGTTGTATTCCTTCAGAACTCTTTTCTGTTGCTGTCAGTTGTCCTGTTGAGTTGGTACTGACACTTGTTCTTGCTGCAGGTGCTACTCAGGAGGTGACAACAGTTGCCCAGGAGGCCGATGCTGCTCTGTCAGTTGTGACACTGACACCTGGCACTACACAGGGAACAGGAGCTGCAAGCCTTCTGCAGGAAAACAGTGGGGAGGACACCCAGATGACAACTGCTCCTAGTGCCACCCAGGTGCTGGTGGCAACTGGTACTTCCCCTGTGGCAAATACTCCAGGTGTAGAAGGTAGGGTTCTGTTTTAGGGACTGCAGGTTGATTTCCACATGAGATAGTACAGCTGAAACAAATATCAGTGCTTGGGTACTGAAGTCTCAACACAAGGGGGAGGTTGTGTGGTGGGTGGGACCCCCTTGCATGAGTCCAGCAATCCTTTGGGTGCAGGATCCTGTATTGATATTCACCTCTGTTAAAAAAGGGTGAGTTCTCAGGTTGATACAGCTCCTACAGAAGTGCTACAAGCAGTTGTGTACTTCCAGCTGCTATCTACTGGTTTGATGTCACCTTGGCAGGTGCATGTAGGAGCCCATCTCTGTATCAGGAGTGTAGCAAGGGTTCCCTTGCACTCCATCTCAAAGCTAGTGCTATTTCTGTTGTAGTAGGTACCACTGTAATGAAACTGCTGCTGGGCAGCTTTTCTAGCAGTTCTTATAATTCAGGGCATCAAAAGAAAAACCTATTTGCATTGTATCTCTTAAATTAGTGTCCCTTTATAGGGGAAAGAAGGCTCTTCTGGCAGTTCACACTAATTAATTTGCTTCTGGGATTTAATTATAAATTCAACTAATTTTTATCTTTGCAATAAACAATTAGATCTCTCAGCTGGTTCAGATCTCTACCAGTGTCTTGGTGCTCTGATCTTGCTATGGGGTGGTGACCAGCAGTCCTCAAAGCAATGGAAGTCACACCTATCTGACTTCTCATTAAGGGGAGCCTCCTGTGCTGGCTGTCCCAGAGGAGACGTTTTTATTACAGCAGAGCCACTTTCATGTCTTGAAAGAGGGAAGAGTTTAATAACTTCCACTCTGGGTTAAGTTTTCATTAAGGAGTTTGTTCTTAAATGGTGGGGTTTTAAATATCGTTGTGCCAAACTGCTGCTGCTTCATGTCTTGTGTAGATCTCACAGATGTGGTACTGGTCACCAGCGAGAAGGCTGTTTCTGCTGCTGGTGGATTGTCTGCTACCCAGCCTGGACAGACAGAGGAGCCATCCAGCAGAACTGTGGTCCTGGTAACTCCAGCATCAATGGCATCTTCTGTCAGGAGGACAGCTCTTCCACCTGTGAGGAAGATCAGTACAGCTGTGACCTATGGGCTAGACCGCCTGGAGTCAGAAGGTACCACTGATCTCAAGGCTAAGAGCCGGGCAGGTTCATGTGGAACAGCCCACTTGCCTTGACACTGAGTACCCTGTTTTTGTCTGTCTGGTGTGCAGCTATCTCCATATGTTATTGTTGCTAATAAAGTTGTTGAACAACCTGTCCCCTTCCAGGAGGTGCAGGAAGCAAGCAGTGAAGGTTGTCATGGAGGATGCTTGAAACTCAAGCGACTGTGGTGGGAGGGATGAGGTTTTCCCTTGGAGAGGGAACAGCAGTGGTGTTGCTGTTGCAGTGGAGTCTGGCTCTGCACCTGTGACTGCTGGTGTATGTGTCCATTGCAGAGCCTCTGTACCAGGTAACACTCATGGAACATGTTCAGACAACTGGAGAGGCTGGCTGAAACCTTGCTAGAACAAGTGATGCCCTATTTGCACTCCCTGTGTGATGCTGCTGGGAGAGGCAGCCTTCTAGCTTGAAGCTACCTGCTAAGGCTCCTCCAGCCTTGCCTCAACCCTGGGCTCCTTTCTCTTACACTGCCAATCTTGGAGTCTCTGCTCCCAGACATGTGGAACCCAGTGATGTAAACTCCACCTGGGCGGACACCCATCAAGAGAGGTTTAGTTGAAGTAGATCCTACCCTGGAGTGGGTCTGCAGCTCAGATCTGCTGTCTCTTTAGCTCATCCATGATTTTCCTGCAGAGAATTGCTTTACTTCTGCTTCTTGCTCTTTCTCCTAGTTAAACTCTTATCTGCTTGCTCATCCATCCAGTTTTGTACTCCAGTGTCTGGACTGACACCACCTGGCAGGGATTAATCTTTCTGCCTGTTTTGCTCCTCTTCCTTTTTCTTGACCTTCTCTTGCCTTGTATTTTACTGCAAAGGTTGGCAGCCCTCCAGGGGTGGCATGCCAGATGGTATTTTTCTTCTGATTAGAGGTGGGGTGCCATAGACAGCAGCTAATCAGCATCTTTTTCTCTGCGTGAAGCAATAACTCTCATTCCTATTAAGTTTAGAGGGCAGCAGAAGCTGGGAGCCCTCCCCACTGCATGCGTGAGGTGCTGCGGCTCCTGCCCTCTCTCAGGCTTGCTGTTGGCTTTGAAGCCTGCCATGAGCTTTCTGGGCCTCCAGCTATGGCACTTGCCCCTTGCCAGGATGAGTCTTGCATGTATCTGGCAAGACAAGGATGTGGTGCTGATGATGGGAGAGTGGCAGCAGGGGAAGAAGGGCATGGGTGTGGAGGGACAACCTCATCTTTCAGGCTGGGAAATAAGGTCTCCGTTTTGCAAGAGCAGTAGGATTCGGGAGGCTAAAATGTTTCTGAGCCCTCTGGGATCTCCTTTAGAAGCCTGGTTTTCTGCATAGGAAGATAAGAGGGATTTCCATTTCAAGCGAGCATTGGTTTCTCCCTATTTAATGAGACTTTCTGCATAGGCATTTAGAAAAACATCCTTCTGCTCTGACATAGGACTGCTGTGACTTTCTTGGGTTCCTACTGAGCTCTCTTGCATGACCACAGGCCTGTTCTCTCTGCTCTTGGGTAAACTCTGAGCTCCTTTAAGGGCAAATGTGGGCTGTAGCTAGGACTAGCTTCCCTAAATGATGGTGACTCAAGGAGAAAGCTGTGGGTTTCTTGGCTCTGGGGTATGGCTCTGCAGGTGTCTGCCCTCCAAGGGACATGGTGATCTCTGGTATGCTATGTGGTTCTGACAACTGGCACAGCTTTTATGGTCTAAATCTCTTCTGATCAACCCAGACCTTACTGCAGTGAGCCAGAATTTTCCCTAGTGTTAGGGATCACCAACATGTGTCTTATAAAATGGGATAAATACCACCTGGGGATAGGCTTTCTGCCTGGGGATGCTACTGCCCCAGTTAAGCAAAAAGGAAGCTTTTGAGCTGTGACTCTGCTCTCTAATATATTTTTCTCCATGTGATGGCAGTTAGGGGGTACTAGTACTGCATCCTCATGGTGGAGTGATGTTTGGAAGCTTGGTTTCCATTCCCCCAAAATTACAGTTCCCAGTGCTTACTCTCAGAATTTTTAGATGCTGCCAAATTCAAGATGTTTGGGAGAGCTCTCCTTTGAAGCTGGACTGAGCTCCAGCCCAGGGTGCTCAAGCTCTTGTGGAATGCAAGGTCAGACATCGCTGCTGTGGCAGGAGTATGCTTGGGTTCCCTAATGAGGGATCTTGGGCCTCTGCAGGGAGGCTGTGCCTTGCTCACCAGTGGAAGAAATGGAAGGAGCTGAGTGAGCTCAGCTGGTCTCTGCTGCCTTCAGTGAGGCTTGCTCGCTTGCCTCGCTGTGGGCCTGGCTCATCATTAAATACAAACCCCTGCTGTTCAGCTAGCTCTGTTTCTTGGGGACCATCTGTGCCAAACTGCCTGCAGTTAATTGCATCAGTATATTCACCTACCTGGCTTGGATGCAAGACCATATTAAAATTCAAATTGCACAGACAAACATGAGTTGCTTTGAATGTGTCTCTAGATGAGCTTATCCTCCTCTCCAGTGGACTCTGGAGAGATTAGCTGGGTAACAAATATCCTCCTACCCAGACTCTGTGGTGGGACTGGTTCTACTTGCCCTTTCTAGCCATAGAAATCCTATAAAGGGATTATAGGATACGGGGATGGGACACAGCAGAGGATGAGGCTTACTTGTCTGGGAGACAAAATTATATATTTTGTTCCCATGCCCAGAATTTCTGTCCTTTTCTAGCAAGCTAGACCTTGCAGCTTTCTCTGTAGGGCTCCTAGGCTCCAAATGTATAATTTAGTTCAGCTTGCCTACTCAGGACCACCATGTAAGCCTTCCAACACATTTTGAAAAATGGCTCTTTTGAAAGAAACTGCTGTTCTCTTGGATTGGACTCCTTTGCCATAACATCCACCATGGTATGGGCAGAGATGGCTGCCCTCCATAAGCATTGGCAGGTGTAACTTTCCAATGTGCCAACCAGCCTGCCATGTTCCCTCTCCTGCAAGATCCTCACAGTCTTTCACTGAAACCTGGTGGACAGAGCACAACAGCAGCTGGCTCCCCTTGGCTGCTCCTCAAGCAGCTCCTGTCACTGTTCTGTACAGGATGTGATCCAGGGATGCTTTGAGGCTAAGCAAAAGGCAGGGTAATGCCCTTTCTATGAGGACTTTGAAGGTCATGTCATCCTGACATGCTAGTCCTAAACCTTCTGTTAGTACAGAACTAGTCTGCTGCTAAGGGTGATGTCTCACCCATCACAGCCTGGGTAAAAAGGATATTTTTTATTTTTTTGTGTGTGCATCCCTTCTACTACACCAAAATAATCCCAAACTGCTCTGCAACAATGTGTAAGCCCTAAAGCTGGTTCCTGTTCAGTCATCTAGGGTGGCTTCAAGCTGTAGTTGCTGGGGGTGAGCCACTTCCGTGGTTCATCTGTCACGTAGGCTGCTGGATGAGGAGGGTGCTTAGAGCTTTATAAAAGCAGGAGATGCTCTACCTGGTGCCAGGAACAGTCAATAGCTCTGAAAATGGGCAACTTTAACTCGGCTGCTCTAGAGGCAGGATATCTGAGCCATGTGGCTCTTGAATGTGAAGTGTTCCTCATTAGTCAGGCTGGCTCTGAACCTGCAGCTGGCAGAATCCTGGTCTTTAGGGTGGAGGGTTGGAAAGGCAGTGTCAGACGTCTGCTGCTTAGGACAGCACAGAGCCATTTCCAGTACTCTGCCTGGTTTGCTGACGTGTCCCCACCTAATGCAGCATTTGGCTGTGGAGAAACCCCTCAGTGATGCTGAAACACGGCTGGCACTGCCCTTGGGATCAGCAAATCCAATGTCCTGCAGCATGGGGTACCTCCCTGCTGAACCTTGGCTGTGGGCTGCAGCTTGCTCTTCTGCTGTGTAAAAAGGCTGTTCTGGAACAGTGCCAGTATGAAGCTTTATCCTTTCTAAACTTAATATATTAGTGATGTTTTATTACCTCCTTCTGTCTGGGTTTAAACAGTTTCTACCGTTCTTTGGTGACCTGCGTACTAAAGTTTACTCTTCCAAGGAAGCTGTAGCTTAACTAATTTCAGTGAGAAGAGCTCTCCTAGTCCTCTTCTACTTCCCCTGCATCTTGTTCTTCTTGTACAGTCATCTAAGCTGTGTGTCGTACTTCAGAAGTGAAGGCATGGGCTTGCCTTTTTTGGAGAAGATACTTCCGATCTCATAGCCATTAACATTAATTTTATAAAAGACCCATTTACATTCTTCTTACACTTCTGAGCTATGTCACAGTACCAGGAGCCTTCTTTTTTCCTTTTGCTTGTGAAGAGTATTTTTTCTGGAAATCAAGTCTCTGACTGGGATTGCTGTTTGGACCCTGACTGCATGGATTAAGACCTGCCTCATTAAATCTCTTCAACCCCATTAAAAATTCAAATGAGGTTGCAGGGGTGTAAATAAGACAGGCACTTAGCCCAGCATGGTTAACTAGCCTGATACTATAATTCATCTTTGGATATCAGCTAAATTGGCAAGGAACAGAAGATTTAAAACAAAGCACAAGCAAAATGAATTAATTATTAAATGTTCTTGGTGCATACTTTTGTCTTGCTTCCAGTTTATTGCTCTCACTGAAAGGGGAAGTGCTGTCCCTCTGGTGCAAGTTGACCTCTGTGTTCTTCACAGGAGATGGTAGTTAATCCCTGATTCTCCTCCTTTGTAGCAGAAAACTGTAAAAAGAAAAAATTGTAACAGAATTTTGCATCAAAACAAAGCTTGCCTTTTTTTTTTCTTTCTTTTCCTGAAAGTGTTTGACCAAAGACAACATCTCTGCTTGTTTTGTTTCGTGGAATCCACCTGAGAGTTGAGGAAGAAGGGGTGATCAAGCCCTTAGTTGTTCACCCACAAACTCCCAACTCATTAAGAGGGAGTTAGGCTAATTAAAGGCTCACTAAGAAGAGGAGTGAGGCAACTCCTGCTGTGTGCAGCTGGTGTGCTGAGCTCAGCCTTGTCTGTGCTTCCCTGTGACGGGAGGTAGAAGGTGGTCTGGCCACTCT